GGGGGGGGGGGGTCTCCTTAGAATTGGTAAGGTCAGACGCCCCCTCCCCCCGTTGTTCCCCGTTGTTGTTGTTTTTTTAAAGGATGCACCGTTGAAGGATGCGATCTGGCTGAAGCATTTCATTTCCCAGTCAAATTCCGGACATGCAAGGAGTGCTCCCTGCTCAGCCCAGCCCAGAAGCCAGTGAGAAATCTACACACCTCCTGAAAAGGGTGAGGTGGAGCCAGAAGCAAAATCATATCCGAGCCTGCCACTTCCCAAAAGGCCCTTTTCTGCTCTGCTTTCTAGCCTTTTCACCTTAAAACAAAAACAAATGGCCTATTCTTTTTAATTTGCCACCATGAGGACCAGAATGCTACTTCTATTTTAATGTAAAGTATACGTTAAACTGGAACTCTGGGCCCTATCTAACGAGATGAAATTCAATGTAGAGAAAATTAAAAGTCTTAGGCAAGAAGAAGAAAAAAGGACACGTATAGACTGGGTGAAACTAGACTTAGCAGCAGTAATTGTGAGAGGGATCTTGGAGTCTTAGTGGACAACCAGCTAAATAGGAGCCAGCAGTGTACAGCAGCCAAAAAAGCTAATGCAATCCTAGGTTGCATTAACAGAGGGATACAATGAAGATCAAGGGAGGTACTAATACCACTCTATAAAGCCTTAGTAAGACCACACCTAAAGTATGCATCCAGTTTAGGTCACCACACTATAAAAAAGATGTTGAGACTCTAGAACAAGTGCAGAGAAGGACAGCCAGGATGATTAGAGGACTGGAGACTAAAACATATGAAGAACAGTTGCAGGAACTGGGCATGGCTAGTTTAGGGAAGAGAAGGACCAGGGGAGACACAATATTTGAGGGGCTGCCCCAGAGAGGAGGAAGGGGTCAAGCTATTTTCCAAGGAACCTGAAGGCCAGACAAGGAATAATGGATGGAAACTGATCCAGGAGAGATTCAACCTGGAAATAAGGAGAATTTTTCTGACAGTGAGAACAATCAACCCATGGAACAAGAAGTTGCCTTCAGAAGTTGTGGGAACTTTATCACTGGAGGCTTTCAAGAAGAGGCTGTCAGAAATGGTGTAGGGTCTGCTTGGGTGGGGGTAGGACTAAATGACCTACAAGCTCCCTTCCAACTCTGTTAAATCTGCATCTGTATACAGAATCCAGGGCAATTTTTCCAGCAGCCGCACAACACACTCTGTCCCCACTTGCTTCTTTCTGAGCAAAACAGGATGGCTCTTCTAATGTAGTGTTTCTTAAGCTTGGCTGCTTAAAGATGTGTGAATTTCAAATCCCAGGATTCCTCAGCTTGCACGCTTGCTGGGGAATTCTGGGAGTTGAAGTCTACACATCTTCAAGGGTGGCCAAACGTGGAAAAATGCTGTTCTGGTGCATCCCTTAAACTCCAAATACCCATGGTGATAAAGACACGAGGACCAAGAAAGCTTTAGGAAGACTGATCAAGTTTAACATAAAAGAAAAATAATAATCACCTCCAGGAAGAAGGCTCTTGAAAACCCGAGAGACACCTGCCACAGGTAAACAAGACTGCACGTGCTTTCCTACTTTTTAGCACATTTAGTGCTGGAATTCTCTTGGCCAATCAGAATTTGGAGGAAGTTGGCAAGCTGCCCTCCTAGTGGTGACTTCAGAGCCTTCTGCCTAACTTTTGCAAGCGAGGTTGAGCAAAATAACGGCTGTGTGTTAACATAATGGGAAAAAGCAGAGCACACGATTGGTGGAATCTGGGCCAAAGTAATCAGGCGGGGTAGAGAAATGAAGCCCCGCCTTAAATTGCTATTATGTCAGGGACAGACAGCCTGGTGTGGTGTTTGGGTGACAACTTTCATTGTCCTTTGCCCCTGGAAATGCTGGCTGCAGGACTGGCGAGAACTGGCATTCGAAACATCTGCAGGACATCAAGGTTTATCGACTGCCACGTGATCAGGGGAAGTGAACATGCATGTTCCAGGATGTTTGGCCCATGGGAGGGGTGGGGGGTTCATCCCCATCATAGAGAAAGCAGCTTACAGAGTTTTGGCACCCGTATCTAGCCACTTAGGCAGCTTGCATGAATTCAGAAGACCAAACTGCCCTTCTCCTGGCTCAACGGGCAGGGACAAAATGGGAACAAGAAGGGAGGGAGGAGTAATAATTTTTAAAAACTATAAATAATTCAAGGCAATGAATATATCCAATAATTCTTTCTTCCTATTTTCCCCTAACAACAGATGGGTTGGACTGAAAGAGAGGTGGACCGGGCTGAGAGAGAGGGGTTGGCCCAAAGTCACCCAGCTGGCTTTCATGGCTAAAGTGGGACTAGAACTCCCCGTCTCCTGGTGACTGGCCCAAAGTCACCCAGTTGGCTTTTGTGCCTAAGAAGGGACTAGAACTCCCCATCTCCTGGTGACTGGCCCAAAGTCACCCAGTTGGCTTTTGTGCCTAAGAAGGGACTAGAACTCCCCGTCTCCTGGTGACTGGCCCAAAGTCACCCAGTTGGCTTTTGTGCCTAAGAAGGGACTAGAACTCACCGTCTCCTGGTGACTGGCCCAAAGTCACCCAGCTGGCTTCCGTGCCTAAGGCAGGACAAGAAGTCACAGTCTCCAGCTTCCTAGGCTGCTGTCTTTTAACCACGCTCCCTAGTAAAAGCGACCCAACGGACTAGCAACTTGAGCCCCAGAGTCTCATCCCTGCCAGGGAGCGATCCAAGAGCTTGCTTTTTCAGTCTCTCTTTGGTTTCAGCCTTCTGGCTTCGCGAGAACCAGGAAAAGCGGAGCCCCAGGCTCCCACAGCAGG